ATATAAATAATATAATAAATTATAAAAAAAAAAATTATATATTAAAATTTTATATTTATTAAATTAATAAATATATTATGTAATTATTAAATATATTTAATTTATATATAATATAAATATATTTGTAAAATAATATTTAAAATTAAATATAAATTAATCATATATATCAATATATAAAACTAGTAATTTTTATTTATAAATAAACTATTTAATAAACTATATATAATATATAACAAAAAATTTATATAGATTTATAAATAATATTTAAAATAAATAATTAATAAAAAATTATAAATATTATATAAATAATATCAAATCATTATTTTTAAAAAAAAATAAACAAATATATAGAAAAATATATAATTTATTCAATAATATATTTATTTAATTTATAATTATAATAAAAAAATATAAAATAAAATATTAAATTATAAAAATTTTTATAATTTAAAAAAATTAAAAAAAAACAATTATATTTATTATAATTTATTTATATAAATATAATAAATATTTTATATGTATAATTTACTTAAATTACAAATAATATTTTTAAATATTAATAAAATATATTAAATTATTATATATAAATATAAAAAAATAATAATTATATATAAAATATTAAATTATATATTAGTTTCAATTATATATATTTATTTATAAATATATAATAATATAATTATATTAATAAATTATTAAAATTTAAATAAATATTTAAAAATATAATATTATATTTTTTAGATATATTTAATATATTTTTAAATATATTCTAAAAATAAATTATTATTATTTTAATTTTATTATTAAAATATTTACAATTAACTATTTTTTAAATAATAATATTAATTTATATATATTTTTATAATTTATAATATAATTATTATTATTAAAATAAATTTTAAACCAAATTTTTATAATAAAAATAAAAATATATATAAAATTAAAAAATAAATGTAAAATTTATATAATTAATAAAAATAAAAAAAATATTAATATATATTTAATTAGATAAATGTCAAAGATTTATTAATAATAAAATATTATATAAAATATAATCAATTCAAAAAATTTTAATATATCTTTTTTATATATTATAAATAATATTTTATAATGTATAAATATATATTATAGTTTTAATAAATTATTAAATAAAAATAATATATAAATTTTTAATTATATTTATAATATATATATTTATATTAATAATTAATTAGATTTTAATAAATTAAAATTAAATTAAATTATTTAATATGATTAATTTTCAATATATAATAAATAATAATTAAAAATTATATAAAATAAAAAAATAAAAATTATTTAAATATAAATAATATTATTATAATAATAATTAATTACATTTTATATATATAAAACTTAATATTATTAAATCTAAATTCTAAAAATTAAAGTCGTATAATTAACAAAGTTATAGAAATATAATATTAAAATAATCAAAGTTATAATATTAAAATAATAAAATAATGATAATTATATAATAATATATTTAATTTAATAATATATCTAATATAAATATAATTAATTATAAAATATAGATATTAAAATTTATATAAATAATTTATAAAAATATAAAATAAATATATTAATATATATAATATTTTAAAATTATTATAAATATAAAATATAGTAATAAATTAAATATTATTATGATATTAAATAATAAATTAATATAATATAATAATTTTTATTATTTTAAAAAATAATTATAATTTATTATTAAAATATAATATTAATAAAACAAAATTATAATATATATTAAAAATTTACAAATTATTAAATAATATTAATCAATATAATATAAATATATAATTATATAATATATATAATATATTTATATAATAAATTATTTTCAAATTATGTAATTAATAAAATTTCAAATAAAAATATTAAATTTAATATAAAATATTAATTAAATTTATAAAATATATAAAATATTAATTTAAAATAATAAATATTAATAAAAATAATATAAATTATTATAATAAATATTAAATTAAAATATAAAATATATAATAATTTATATAAA